AAACCATGGGTAAGCCCTCTTGAGCCACCCATGATGCTAAGCAATGACTGGGTTCCACAAGCAAGCAGTATAGAGAAGTACAACAGAAGGGTCAAGGAAAGAAAAGAGAATAGACAAAGAAGGGAGGAAAATGGAAAGGGAATTATAATGAAAGAGAATGGAAAAAATGAGGAGTTACAGAGCAAAAAGCAAAAACTGAGGGCATACCAGTGACCCTAGTATCAAATGTTGCCAACCTTACCTATAATCTGAGACAATACAGCAAGTGGCAACGTAACAGACCATGAAAAGACCAATTTAAATCACAGACTTAGTAGATATCAAAGATGAGAAAATCAGAGTAGCACTTTAAAAAGTCAAAATGCAACAAAATAGTCTTAGAATCTAAAGAAACAATTTAGAGAGTACTGAAATCTCATTTGGTTTAGTTGTTCTTCATTTCTTAAGAGCAGTGAATCTGGTGGACCCAAAAGGTGAAAACGTCAGTATCAGAGAGAAGGATATGGAGACGTGTGTTACAGAGACAGTATGAGGCTCATTTGGATACCATTTGTGGGAATGACTTCAGAATTTTCCTCTCTATGGTATAGTGCTACTTAATTTGCTAAGAGTTTCACTGTAATTCTTATCTTGGTTGGCTGGGTTAACTTCCTTAAAACCAGAGTTCAAAACAAGGTAGCTATTTTATTAATTATGGTCAAGATTTAACCTTAAAAAGGGAAAGGATCTGCAATAGATCATAAAATATTACTTACTGTATCATAAATTAGTCTAATGGTAACCAAACCCAGCTAATGATTCTCAAGAAAATTATGTAACTAAGAGATTAGGTTAAAGTTCCTTGAAATTAAAGTTAGACAAAAGGAATATACATTTTTTTAAAAAACAGAATTTCTACCTTGAAACCATTCAGAGAACATGTAATCGTGAACATATTTCCGGCAACATGTTAAACACACACACATACCACCACAAGGCAGCCCAATGATGTCACTAAGAATAAACACAAATATCCTTAAAGATAATATCACAGCAAAGAAAATCCTGGCTCTAAAGCAAATATAATTAAACTTGATACCTTAACCAATCATACATCATGTCCATGAACATTCAGTCTTCATGAGCACTCTATCAAAATAGGTGAGAGGAGAGTTTATCCATAACTCATCAAAATATTTTTATTATAGAATAATAGGACGAAAGATGTGCATATCTATAGTTTGTTTCTCCAATTTAATCATATTCTAATTTTAAAAGATAATGAAAAGATAAAAACTTTCAATACAAGGTCACCGGGAGATCATCAATACCATGCACTTGTAAAACACAGATTACAAACTTTAGGGGGAAGAGAGCAGAGCCCTTTTAATAATAAACTAATGCTTTTAAATATTAAGAGTTAAGAACTGAGTTGTTCCTTTTTTTTTTTTGTATTTTAAGTTCAGGGGTAGGTGTGAAGGTCCGTTACATAGGTAAACTCATATCATGGGGGTTTACTGTACAGATTTCTTCACCCAGGTATTAAGTCCAGTACCCAATAGTTGTCTTTTCTGCTCACCTCACTCCTCCCACCCTCCATCCTCAAGTAGACCCCATTGTCTGTTCTTGGTTTTCATATTTTCTCATCAATTGGCTCCTACTTATAAGTGAGAACATGTAGTATATGGTTTTCTTAGAATAGGATTTTTTTTTTTTTACCTCTACACTACTGACATATTAAGCCAGAAAACTCTTTGTTGTGGAAGGCTGTACAGTGCATTGTAGGACAATTAGCAGCATTCCTGCCCTCTACCCAACTAGATGCCAGTAGCACACCCCGCCCCTGTTGTGACAACCAAAAATGTCTCAAAATGTCCCATGGATGGGGATTTGGGGAGTTAGGGAGGGGGAAATCACCCCAGCCTAAGAACTACTGGCTTAGATCACAAATAGGAAAAAAAATAATACAAAATGAATGGCAGGAGAACTTTGTTTCATTTTTTTTCTGGTCTCCATGTTTCAAATGTATATATTTGAATTTGACCGCAAACAGCATTTATAAGAGATTCTGCCTTTTAGAAAACAAAGTGTTAACATCCATCACTCGTTAGCCAAAGTTCAAAAGATTATCTGTACTGCCAGCTCTCCCTCCAACCACACATACATTCACACATACACAGTATTGCCTAGCTAAACTGAAGAAAATGTAACATGATTACCATATTTCCATTTCCTATTTCATCAAATAGATTGACCATACTGCTGCAGCTCCCACAAAATCCAAAGGAATTCTCAACTTACTTCAATGCAACTCAAATACCACAATAGCTGCATCACTCTAAATGGGATAAACCTAAGTACTAAGGCAAGTACTAAAGTCATTCTCATACTTTAACAAACTGTGGGGAAAGATACAAATTAACCACAATGCTATAAAAAGAAAACTAAGATTTATGTTTTGAAACAGAATCTAAGGAGGTATGAGAGGAATGAAAAAATTCAAAATCAAAGAGAATCTGAAGGCACTCAAGGATGAGGGCAAAATTTAAAATGCTTCCCCTGGAATGAGAAAGAGGAAGAAATTATACACTTGGCCATATCCTACAGGAATAGTCTGCATAATCAGTCTCCAGAATACATATCATGGGATAGAATTTGAAAAATTAGAGTCCACGAAATAGTAAACATTCCTCCTAAACACCTGGAACAAAACTGTTCTTACTATTGTTTCCCATTTTGATTAAAAAATGAAATAAAATATCTAGAAATGAAAATAGACAAACTGAGAACTTTTTAAATTCTCATAAAAATAGTTACCTCATGTTTCCAATATGCCAGATTACACATTTTGTAGAAAAATCAATTAGTTGGAGAAACACAATAATCCTTTTTTAGAGTGCATCTGATCCATAACAAAAGCCTTTTAAAAATCAGACATTTTAAGTACTCAAATTCTTCATGTATAAATATGGATTAGGGTCTTTAAGATTTCAATTATCTTCAACAGAACCACAAATTTTTGTTCAACTGGGAATGTTCATCTTAAAAAGCCTATGCAACAACACAATATTAATTTAATATAAGTGGACTATCTATATGCCCTATAGCAACAAAATTACTTTATTTCAAAACTATAGCTGTTAACCTCCTGGCCCACTGAAAACAATCCTGGCCCAATGGAAATAATCCCACAAGAAACTAATGCTCAGTTATTTTTACTACCAAACCAAGCAGAGGAAGCTGTAAGATCTGTAGCAACAGCCTGCTTTTCCAGAAGTAATACCTTGAGACTGCTCAAGAATAACCTCCTTCACCAATTAGTGTGACTCAGGTGGGTTTGGAGGGAATAATGTCCACAATTCCTTGGTCAGTGGCCATGATGCCCCTCCTCCTCAAGGGCAAGAGATCACAACAAGGGATTTGAACAAGAGGAGTTCACCAGCCACAACATATAGAAGCAGGAAAAAAAAAAAGAGTACTACTGGAAAGATAAAAACTACATGGTTAAATCATGTCACAAGAGCAAGAGGTTTAATGTTATCAAGGCCTTCATTCATTTCAGACACACCATTGTTTAGCTTCCTCCCCAAACCATGCACAAAAAGAACTGTCAGCCTGCCTTAAGCATGTTCCTTCTTCCATTTAAACAGACATGATTCTTTTGGTTAATCTCTGGCAATGATCGCCATTTCACAACACATTCAGCCCACCCGGAACTGATCAATACCACTACAGACATAAGACTAGACTTTATCCATTTATTAACCACAAGGAAATGTACCATTCAGCAAAATTCTATACATTACAAAAGATTCTATTTAAAGGGGGTTGGGGAAGATGGACACAAACACACATACACACACACACACCCCATAGAGGTACACAAAGAAGACTACCACCCTTTAATTTTCCTATGGCAAACGAGATAAAGACATGGCCATGAAACCTGTCAATTTGCCCCCCCCACCCGTCCCCAGTAATTCTATGCCACAAGCTGGTAACTGAATATTAAATTTTACGATAAATAGATCCAATGAGACTTTTAAAATGTTTCATCTATTGAACTAAGTCTCCTGTTGTGTACATCTGCACACCTCTGAGCTAATGATGTATACATTTATAGAATTTCAAATACAAAAGACTAGATAGTTTTTCCAACCACTGGTTGCAACCACAGAACGTTCTCACAAAATCGAAATTTCCAATATGAAATGGCCAGATTATTCCCCCAACCTTTAGCTAAAACCTATTTTATGAGTCTATTATATTCAACAGAAACAATTTCACATGGGTTGTTCTAAACCGAAAACAACGCTTCAATACAAAGCGTTTAAAATAAGTATTCCGTAGGTAAGCAAAATCTATGCCCCCAAAGAGCACACAAATGGTGGTTGAACACCAGCACATTACCAACCCCAAGCGGCATACCTCTTCTGCAGTGGGTTATAGTTAATACTCCAACAACAACTACAACTATTTTTAACACTGCTGGACACTGAAGTTGAAGAAAACGTGAGGGGAGACCCAGATTAATCTACTGAAAGGATGTACTGCTTCTCACAGCCAAAATTAAGCAGCAACTGACTTGATCTATGTCGTGATATTCACGGGTGAAGCACCAATTAAAAGATGACAAAAAGCAACCCTGGTTTTAGGGGAGCCCACACTAAATACTCCTTTCAGGTCTCAACCTTTGCATAAATTGCCACTTGTGGTATTTGCGGCTTAATTGCAACCCAACCAGCCTTGTCATCTAGTGTTATGGCCACAAAACATGACTTTCTCACTTCCACAACAACACAGCACTCACTCTTATCACGCCAACCCAACTCAAAAGGAGAAAAATGCATGGAGGTTCCCAGATCACAATCAGACCTGGGGGGTGGCAGCCGAGGGGCGCGGGGTGTGGGCAACCTCCCCAGGCTCCACTGGACTCTCCGACCCGACACCAGCCGCGGCCCCCAGCAGCGGCCGCCGCGGCCGCAGGAGCAGCCCCGCCGCGCCGCGCTCCCTGCACCTACCTGAAGAACAGGAGATAAGAAAGACGGCAAACGCCAACTTTGCAGCAGCTCCCATTTTCCCGAGACGCCGGGGAATCCGGAGGAAGTTCTCGCTAGATATCCAGTTCCCTGGGTCTTCCTCGGAGACAAACCTCCTGGTGTAAAATCAACCGTCATAAAACATATTCGGGAGCCCAGACCAAAAAAAAAAAAAAAACGTTCACTGGGTTTAAAAAACAAAAAAAGAAAAAAGAGCACAACAATAAAAAATAAAATGCACCACGGGGGAAAAACCGCCACACACACGCACAACACACAAAACCAAACAACGAAAAGCCAACAACAACAAAAGCGGGTTTAAATCACTGTCAAAATCACTGTCAGCTCCGCTCGCCTCTCCGGTCTCTCGAAACAAAACGCCAGGCTGAGGCGACGAGGAGGCGGCGGCGGCGGCGGCGTCCGCTGCCGCCCGGACAGTCTGGGAACCGACTGGGTCCGACGTCCGGACCGACCTTCAACCCGGACACCTAATGTCTCAGGACCATTGGCGGCCAAGCTCGCGGCGGTGGCGGTCAAGGCGGCTGCGGTGCGGGGAAGGGGCGGCGGGCGGCAGCGGCGGCAGCGGCGGTGCAGGCGGCGGCCAAGTTCTGGTCCAGGCTCTGGCTCCGGCTCCGGCTCCGGGCTCCGGACTCGGCCGCGTTTTCGGTCTCCTGGCCTCCGCCGGGCTCCGCCCCCCACACTTCCGGTTCCGGCCCGAAGCTGGAAGCCCCGCGCAGCGGAGGAACGCTCGGCGGCAGCGGCGGCGGCGGCGGCTGCAGCGGCGGCCCGGCGCAGCGCGCGTGCCGGGCCGGGAGCGCGAGGAGATTGTCGGGGAAGCGAGGCGGGAGCGGGGGAGGGGTGAGAGAGCGAGGGCGGGGCCGAGTGGAGGGAGAGGAGGCGGGGCGGACGGAGGCTTGATACCGCGAGGCCTCGGCGTCCGGCCTGCTTGGGCGAGAGATCCCGCGACAAAGGGGCGCGGGCGCCTCAAAGTCTCTGAGCTGTGCTTGGGCTGTGGCCGGGCGCGCCCCGTTTGCAAATCGCGTTCCCACTGACGTCTCTGGAGCGCCCACGCGAAGGGTCAGGGGAAGCCCAAAAGCAACAGGACCCCGAGGTGGGGCGAGTGGCCGGTGCTTCTCCGAGGGGCGTCTGTGGCGCCCAGTCTTTCCTCTGGCGGGGACGCGTCGTCCTCTCGGAGACCGAGGAATCGGTGGAAGCCGGCCGTGGGAGCTATTTTCGCCGCGCCCGCCGAGCTGCCCAGGCGAGCTCGCAATCCGCGAGCTGGTGTCTGAGCCCCCAGATTTAGCTGTGCATCCCACCGCTGCGGTTTTTGCACACGCGTGCTCTCTTGGTGACTAGAAGAGCAAAAAAAACACGGAGGAAGGGCTGTCCACCCGGTCAGGGTATTCACGCCATTTATCACGATGCCCAACTTGAATTCATTCCCACCGTTCCTTTTACACACAAAGAATTGTGTTGACAACTGTTTTGTACGTAATAGGGGCACAAATACTTGTTTACTGCGCTTTGAAGAAAAAAACTGGGAATTTCGATCGACATATTTAATGATCAGACAAGTGTTTACATGTTCAAATTTTAAGCTCTTTTAGGGCCTGCTTTTACTCCTTAATCCATGTTGACTGCTTACAAGCTGGTGTGCTAGGCACGGAATGGGATCCAACAGGTAAAAATAGGATGGATCCCTACCTCAAGTAGCTTTTAGTATTTGCTGTATTCAGTTGGCTGCAGAATGCAAACTAAAGACCATTGAAAGTACTTGCTCTGTCATTTACCACACTTTAGTGAGCTTCGGGAAGAAAGATCTTGATTTTTTTTTTTTCCTTATTTTATTCCAGCACCCAGAAGTACCAACTGGCACATGATAAGTGCTTAATAAATAATTGTATAAATGACTAAAGGATAACTGCCTTTCCCTTAAGTACAGTCTCCTTTAATGTACTCTACAAAGTTTTTTTTAATAATAATAATAATAAAGCAACTGTACTATATAGCTGATTTATGTTTTACTTGTGGTTTACTGATTCCCACCTTTTCCCACAAAACCAAGTCTTCTCACTTATATTTATAGCAGTTGACTTCCTCTAAATTACTCCGTATTTCTATTAAGTTCATCCTGTAATTATCTGCCCATTTCTACAACTTGTCAGGGTTATTAATAATCATTGTGGCTTTTTAAACTCTCTCCAAGATTTCCAGTTCTCAAGTCGTGGTGCTCAGAATTTCACTGATATTTGCAACAGTTAAAATCCCAAGTCGGTATTAAAGGTGTCTGATTTCATGTAGTTCTCCCACCTTTGTGAGTTGGCAAAGGAATATGTATAAACCTTCCATTCTCTGGTTGAACTAAGAGTTTCACTAATGGTTCTGGAATGGAAGAGTATATTTTACTCTAGAAACACTTGAAGTTCATTAAAGAATGTGTTGTCAGGGTCAGGCCCCACTATTGTCTTATCTATCCATCATTTCAATATTTCTTTAATTGTGAAACCAGAGCAAGTGGAATAACTGGAATAGTGAGTAATGCAACTGAAACTTGAAAATATATTCTTTATCTTACCAACTGAATTTGCCAGTATAAGAATAAGAGCATGAAAATCATCTTTCTGTAGTATTAAAGACACGCAACCAGTCTTCACTAGAACATTCCTTTCTAACAAAGACAAAAAATAATAGTAATAACCCCAGGGGAGAAGTATTAACAACCAGTAACAGTAGCTAGCTATTCTGTTCCTAAATGTGTTTACTTTGCCCCCTCAGTTTTTTAAAAAATTCAAAAATAATGTAACCTAAAATGACAGGGAGTTTTGATTAATTCCCACTGGAGCTTCAAAACTTAAAAAGAGGTAGCTAGGGCTAACCCCATTGTCCTTCTTTTCTCCTTATTTTCTAGAATCACTTTTTTAAATCCACAAATCCAGCCACTTCCTAACACCTTGCAAAGTGTACAACCTGGTTTGGGAAGGAAAATGAGAGAGGAAAGGAAAAGGAAGCATGAATTCTAAACGACCAGAGCATCGGACATTATGAGATAAATATCTTTAGCATCGTCATTCACTTCCCAACCCCAAGACCTAGCCCTGTGGCCACTCCAATACTAGAACTTTAAGTTCAGAGTCTTGCCACGTTCAGTTGAACTGAAAATTATTCCCAGATGGAAGAATCTTGAGAAGCCAGTTCAATCTAGAATGTTGGCTGGATGAGGAGGTAAAGGTAAATAAGTGAGACAAACTGCTTCCAGAATAAAAGATTTCTTTTTGTATTACAAACTCACAGCTCAAAAGATGTGAAGAAGTTTAAATCTTCAGTTAAGTAGAGCTGGAAATGAACCAGGCTGTAATGGAACTTGCCTTTGGACCCACCAACAGACACTAAAGGAAGACATTTCTACTCTCTTTTCCTTCATCTTCAGGAAGATGACTGAAAACCTTTGGAGTATGAAGGATGTTGAGTTCCCCTTAAATGAAGGATTTAGAAGTATTTCTGCTGCTTTCTAGCTACTATAAAACTCTCCTGTGTTCAGATAACATGAGCATTCTTGAAGTGGCACAAGTAATGAGTTTCTTATATGCCAGTGCTGTAAGGCATAATGCATGAGTCCAAGGAAGGGAGAAATGATCGATGTATCCTTTATAAATATCCCCCTCTACTTAAGTGCCCAAGGTGGGAAGAAAATTCTCTACAACCTAGCTTTTGCTGCTATTTTTTCCTCCCCTTCTTATGTTCTATATAGCATTGCACTGTGCCAATGGGGTCAAAAAGAGACATACCAAGGAGTATAAGAATATGGGAATGGATAAGGGGCCCAGTAAGTAATGGATGAGACAAAGGGTTTTAGGTGAAGAAAGTGAGTTAGAAGAGTTAAAGAGAAACTAGCTGTGATGTAATATAAATCTCAACAACCAACTGGTTTCTGTCTAACATCCCAGAGGTAATATTTGACTTTTTCTCCCCATTATCACCCCTTTCAAAATTCAAGAAATAGGTAGGAAACAAAAATAACAGGCTTAATTTGGCAAGGATTCTTTCCCACCCTCCACTTTAATTTCATGACCACAGTTGCTTAGTTTGCTTGAATGGGTACTAGGACTCAATTCCTCCCCAGGCTGATAACCACAGTGCATTCTCGAAAAACTACTGAGCAACTGTCAGAACCCACACACCCAAGTGGTTCAGGATGATGGTGTTACTGATGCGCCCCCGTTGGTTGGTAGGAGGTAGGGAAGGTGTTGGTTTGGACAATAACTGGTAAAGGAGGTGGCACTGGCTTTTAGTGTGCTGGAGCTAGTATGCTAAATACTCTGCAGGAAGTTGGGCATTTAGCATACCCAACAAAGAAGAGTTCAGAATTTGAGACCTGTTACCTTAAACCAATCTCAAATGGAAGGCATAAACCTTCCATTTGAGGAATGGATGAGTAAACCTGCAATAACCAAAGTGTAGGTCTTAAACCAGTGCTGGTTTCAAACAATGTGCTACCAATATTTAATGAGATATGTATGGACATAGACAACATTGTTTAGAAAGTTTTGTAGAAACTTGATGATATTTATGTCTGTTGAAACTAACTGTAAAATAATTAAGCTTATATTTTCTTTATTATTATTTTAATTTCAAGTGTTTCGTTTTTTGGGTTTTGTTTGTTTGCTTTTGAGATAGGGTCTCACTTTGTCACCTAGGCTGGTGTGCAGTGGTGAAGTTACCACACACTGTAGCGTTGACTTCCCAGGCTCTTCCCACTTTAGCCTCCTGAGAAACTGAGACTATAGGCATGTGCCAAACATACCTGGCTAATTTTTTTTTCCAATATTTTTTTTTGTAGAGACGATGTTTTGCTATGTTGCCTAGACTGATCTTGAACTCCTGAGCTCAAGTGATGTGCCTACCTCAACCTCCCAAACTGCCCAGATTACAGGTGTGAGCCATTGCACCCAGCTTCAACTTCTTAATAATTCAATTTTATTGTACTTTTACCTCATGAAGTTCTCATAGATTGGAAATTCATCATAGCAAATCTGAGAGTAGGTTTCCTACTAGAGTAGAAAGCAGACTGTATACACAATTCTTTCTCAAAAAATGTCCTTCACCCACTTTGACAACTGCTTAAAATCTCAACTCAAGCTTTGATGTTATACTCCTGCAATTTTCTAAAATACAAGTCTGCATAAGGGTCAGTCATTTTCATTACACTCTCTGTGGCATTCATTTATTTATTCAACAAGTAACTATTAGGTACAGAATTTGTGCTAGATTTTGACTGGACAATTGTTGAATGAAATGGATAGTCTCTACCATCACTGAGCTGACAGTATCACGAAGAAGACAGGAAAACAGCCAGTAAACAAGTAATTCCCAAATAAAAAGGATTATTTATAAAAGCAGACCGAATGCTGAGTTAAAGAGCAATGGGATAGTATAGGAAGAGGGGAATCTAGAGAAAATGATTCAGTAAGGACTTACAAAGGATGCAACATTTCAACTGAAACCTGGAAGATGAAAAGGCGATACCCATGAAAGAAGCTAGTGAAGAATAAACAGTATCTATGATGGATTTAAGAAATTGAAAGAAAGTTCTCATAGCAATGAGGAAAGTAGTATGAATAAGGAGAGAGAGGAAAATAGGCTTCAGTCTATGCAAGAGCCTATAGACCAAAGTAAGGTCCTTGGATTTTATTCAAAGTGAAGTAGCAAGCCTTTGGAGGGTTTTAAGACAGGGAGTTGTGTGGTCTGGCTTATGTTTAAAAGATCACTCTGGTTGTTTCATGAAGAATGAGTTGCAA